TACTAAATAAACAGGTCGACCTCTCCAAGGCACATGCACTACTAGTCGACGGCTAGTGCAGACAGACCCGACACCACAACTGGGCAACAAAATCCTCAACAGGCTAAAGAGGCTCAAACAGATCGGACAAATCAACAAAACAGACTACCTAAGAATGAAACGTGAAGGAACTAACACCCTCCGATTCTATGGCCTCCCGAAGGTACACAAACCAGAAGTACCCCTCAGACTTATAGTCTCCCTACTAGGCACTCCATCACATAGACTAGCCAAGGAGCTACAAAGGAGACTAAAACACCTCGTCAGCAAGTCACCCCACTCAATCCACTCAGCCCAAGAGTTCTTCAATTCCATCAAGGACATAAGAATAGATGACAACAAAACCATGGTATCATTTGACGTTACTGCCCTATTCACAGGGCAGGGATAGACATACACTAGCAAGAGAAACACTGGCAATACTACTAAAACAAGAACAAGATCCTTGTGACACCATCTCCACAGACAACATGCTGAAGCTACTGGACCTGTGCCTCACCACCCACTTCACCTTTAACAGCCAAATATATGAACAGATCAATGGGACACCCATGGGATCACCTATCTCCAGACTAATAGCTGAAGCGGTAATGCAGAGACTTGAAAGTATGGCCCTTCTGCTAATCCAACCAAAACTACGTGGATACGCTACGTGGATGACACCTTCGTCATTATTAAACAGACCAAACTGGAGGCGACACACGAACTAACAAACAACACCCTCGCCGGGATCAGATTCACCAGAGAACAGGAGAAGAACAAACAGCTCCCATTCCTGGATGTCATGGTGGAATGCAGGACCAATGGGGAATTCCTAACAAAGGTACACAGGAAAGCCACGCACACTGACCAAGTACTGAATTTCAACAGGAACCACCATAACACACACAAACGAAGTTGCATGAGAACATTATTTAAACGGGCAACAACACATCGCAGCAGCACAGAACTACACCAAGAAGAAGAAGAGTACCTCTTCCAAGTATTCAAAGACAATGCATACCCGAACAACTGGATCAGAAGATGCCTATTATATAAACAACACCAGGAAGATACTACACACCCCGACACACTCATCACACTACCTTACATGAGGAACACATCTGAACAGACCACAAGACTCCTACGACCACTGTCGTACACAAACCCACATCAACCCTTTGCCAACTGCTCACCGAAACCAAAGACCCACTACCCACTATGGACAGGACCAATGTCATATATAAGATTCTCTGCAGAGACTGTGATAAACACTACATCGAACACACAGCAAGCAAATTAACCACAAGAGTACACGAACATCAACTGGCAACAAAAAGACACGACCAGTACTCATTCATCTCCATCTACATGGATAAGGAAAACCACCAGTTCGATTGGGACAACACCAGGATCCCGGGACAGGCCAAGCAGAGATAAGCACAGGAATTCCTAGAAGCCTGGTTCTCCACTAAGAAAGCTATTAACAAACACATAGAGCTAGACGCCATATACATTCTACTGCAAAGGAAAACCAGAAGTGAGGTAATCCAGCTCAATGGACACCAGAATTTAACTAACAGGCAGGAAAACACAACGGCGCTTCATCGGAGGCTGCACTGATGATGTTACCCAGCAAGGTAATGAAATGTCTGCGGAACAATGAACCAGTTTGGCGAGCCAACCAACCACAGCATCCACAACCTGTGCTACAAATCTACTCCAAACCTTAGCAGTAACAGAAATTATATCTTGTTGTCAGCCTCATAATGGCAAATCTTGTCTCATTAAGGTGCAGCTTCTGATCATGCAAGATGCCACATAGAAATTAGTTGTCAACAATTCCCATAGTGAAAGTCTGAGTGGGTACTTGGCAACTTTGACTCACTGCTTGCTCCCCTGGACCGCCATCTTAGATGCCCGGCACTAATGTGTCAGGGCACATACCATGGCAGCAGCCATAAGCGCCCCTTGTCAGATGCCAATGTCTGTTGACATCACCAGCCTCCCTGCATCATGGTGGTATATCTCTGATGCACGTAAAGCACATTTTTGCATTGCCACCCTGGACCTTGGGATGCACCAGTAATCATCTTTGCAATCAGAGATAGTAGGAACTGCAGATGCTGGAGAATCCGAGACAACA